TACTTTATAATTCTTTCTGTTTTTAAATAAGGTCTTAGTAGTCATTTCTGTGAAAAACTTATGTGGTATCAGGACCATAACATTTATTATAGGATTGTTTCCATGAGAAAAAGCAGGTTTTATTTTTATCATTTTGATATAAGGCACCTTTTCCAGGAAAGTATTTTGCCATGAATGTGAAGTTTGCCTTTACTGCCACATGGTCACGACCTCTTCCCTAGTCAGGCAAGTCTACAAGATGATCCTTGCATATATATACATGTGTGCATATACACACACGTATTATATATAAGTGTGTGTGTGTGTGTATACACACATGTATCTATCTCATGCCAATTCTCCTCTTTACTCATTCCTGTATTCTTTCTTCTCCCATGTAAATCCTACTCATTCATCAAGATTTAAGTGCAGCCTCCTTAACAAAGCCTCTTTAAATTACAACATTATCAATTAATCTCTACTTATCTGTATATGTGGTTCTTCAAAATTTTAAGGTGTTTTTGAAATGGTACCAATTCTATACTACTGTAGTGAAAGCTCTCTTAACTGATGTTTAGTTAGCCAGTGTTCTTCAATCCCTTTGTATAATATACTGACTGTTACCCCTAGCATTAAGGCTAGGCTAATAGATTACATTCTATTACTTTTGTCCACTTCTGTTTCCACCTTTTGAGTTTTAGGTTTATCAAAAGTCAGTTGTGTGTTGCCTGAGCCCCACCTCCAGGAAATCTGGTATAATTAATCTGTGGTGTGACTGAACATTGGTGATATAGAGGAGAAAGATGATCAAAATTGTATTTGTTTCTGAGCCTGTATATCCCAGTTATACTTTTATTATAATAATATAGTTTAATTAAATCATAACTTAGATTGAAGAAATATGAATGTGGCAAGGTAGTTTCTATGAAAACTTAAGTTACTTGCTTTGGAATTACTCAAAGTTGGTTGAGGATTATAGTTATATATTATAGAATTATGTGTGTAGAATACAACTATGAAATATTGAGAGAAAGTCTTAAAGGACTGCATTCAGATTTGTTTAGCAATGTCTTTAGTTGTCATACCATTTTAAAGAAACTGGAAACTATAACTTTTGCAATGTCAGAACAGTTTGTGGTTTATTCAAGATAGGAAGCACATTAATACCATTCAATGGAACCTTAGTCAAAGAAAAGATATTAGTCCTACATTGAAAGATTTATATAATTTATGTTAAAAAGAAATATATTTATGACTTCCTTTTTTGATCAAATATTTAGATATACCTATTGACCAATTACCAGCTTTCTGTAAACTTGGCCTTTGTGTGTGTGTTGTTTTATTTAGTTAATATAATCAGACTCAATACTATAAGTGTCCTTAGAGAAAACAAACTTGGGAAGTGATGTGACTTGCTGAATTTCATAGCTAATGAAATGATGGGTCTTTTACTCAAATCATGGGCATCTGCGCCTGTCTAATGCTCTTTCTAGAAATATTTAATTGATTTTGTTATTGTTATATATTACTGATGATGAGCTGTACACTGCTTAGTGTAGATGGAACAAGTGAGGCAATTGATACAATATTAATACCAGTCTCAGCTACATATTTGGGAACAGTCCTTGCCATTTTAAGGCATTGGCATTAAGTAGCTTTAGAGCAAAAAGAGCTTCTCAGTACATGTTCTTTTTCAGCTCTTTAAGAAGTAAAGAAGTAGCTGTTGTATGTGTCTCATGTAATCATTCTCCAAGCACCTGTTACAAACAGTGCTCTGACCCTGAAAGAGGAATCAATAAATCAGTATGTATCGAGTACCTCCAGTTTTCATTACTTAGCCGCCAGGGATACAACTGTGAATAAAACAGCACAGTTGGTTGGGTGTGGTGGCGTGTCTGTAATCACAGCCACTCAGGAGACCAAGACAGGAGGATTGCTTGAGCCCGGAGTTAGGCTCCTTTGTGTTGTTATTGTGCCATTGCACTCCATCCTGGAAAACATAGGGGACTCTGTCTTTTAAAACACAAAGAACAAGAGACACAGCTGATCCATGCCTTCCTGAAAGTATTTAACTGCAAGTTGTGTTGTAACAAGTGAAAAGTCTGGTACTATTGGAATATATAACTGAGACCAGACCTAGTCTGAGAGAATAGTGCAGGGGGGGGGTGGTCAGTGAAGGCTGCCATGTGAAATTGTTTTTTAGATGAACTCTAAAGTATAAGTGGGAATTACCTAGTGAATGTGGGGGAGGGAGGGGAAATATGTGTAGAGTGGGCAGGGCTGAGCAATGTTGGCAGAGGGAATAGTCTGCCCAGAGGCACTGAGGTAAGAAGGGGCATATTTGAGTTTGTCAAGTGAAAAGAAAGCCTGTGGATCTGCAGAACGCAGAAGGAGGAGGAGGGTGAAATTGATGATGAGGAAAGAAGCAAGGGCTTAGGTATGCAAAATCTTACAGAATGTGTTTGTGCTTAGCCCTAATGATACTGGGGAGTTATTGAAGGGGTTTTAAAGCTTTCATTTTTATATTATCATTTAGTACATATATTTCTAAAAAGATAACTTCTCTATGGCAATTGGAATGAAGGGGAGTCAGGAGTGGATGTGGGAGATGTGTAAGCAGGATGATGACATTAGATATAAGGACAGGCAAAATTTATGTTTGGAGAAGTACATTTTATAGTTTTGCTTTGCATTTGTGCTTTAATTAAACTTCATTACTTGTTTGCATTCCTAGTTAAACTTAATTCTTTCTTGCAGCCATTCTGTCAAGATATATATGCTTCAGGGCTACTATACATTTTATAACTCAGGTTAGGGTTGATTGTATCAGTTATTTTCTTGGTCACATTGGAATATGCTCTCTTGTTTTAAATTTAAGAAATGACACCTTACTAGTAATGATAATAAAATGAAAGTGTCAGTAATATTGACTATTGTATAATATAATAACCCAAGTGTTTTTACTAAATAGGAATTATGTGGAGCATGATTTTAAAGAAAATGAAAAAGCTTTGACTGTGGGCATAATTTAGAATAGTTTGATATTAAGAGCTCTCATAGAGGGTGTGTAGTGGACATAATAGAAGTGTGGCTATTACATAATTGAATGACTTTTTACAATTCATATTCACATTGCATTTATTACATATTTACCATACACTATAATCTTAGAAAGTAATTCACTGTCATCAGTGTATTTCCCAATTTTGTTAAGGCAAACATTACTAGAAATTGTTAGTATATAGTCTTCTAATTTATAAATGGAAAGCAACATACTATTATTCTTCCTAATCTAGAAAGCTCCTTGAATTGAGATTTATATTTGCATGTAGTCAGTGGAAATGAGTCAAGCAGAAGGAAAATAATGACTTTGGGTAGAGATATAGAATACCTATCTATTTCCTCTACCCTCAACATACATCTTATTGAAATATAAAACTGTATTTAAAATTTTATGTATTTACTTGCTTGGTAAATTTACTCATTTTAAATGTCATTACATCCTCATAGTGAATCAAGATGGGTTTAAAATCCTTCTAAAATTGGTAAATTTTATTTTGTTTGAAAATTTAGAAATTAAATAGCATTATACTATGAAACAGAGCAGATGTGACTTGAAAAATTCTATTTTCTGTTTCTTCTAAATTTGTTAGAATAGAATTTTTATGGATTACATGAGCTAATGACAAAGGATTCTAGAGATAGCTAGCTGTAAGTTTTTATTTAAGTTCTATGTTGAGAGTGAATATTGTACCAAGTTCAGTTATATGCTTAAATGCATGGCTCTTATATTCTAATAATGTTAATTAAACGATCCTCAGATCCCTGAGCCCGGAGGATATCTTTTATGTTGATTTCGTTTGGTATTCATGTACTTGAGTTCACTTTTCCTTTGCATATATACAAAAAACGTAGTTGTTCTTTAAAAATTAATGTATGAGTGTTTAAAAAGCTTGTGTTTTCATTTGAAAACTGCCATCTGTTATTTTTCAATACCATCACCATTCTGTAAAATTTTTTCTCAAAAAGTGGCAGCAATCAAGCAACTTCTTCACTATATTTTTTATTATACAAGTGTGTGGTAATTATCATAATGAATTATTGTATACTTTTTTGGTTTCCTTATTGCCCAGCACCTTCATGAATGGACTCTTTGTTTTATACTCGATATGTTCCTAAAAGGGGGAATTAATTTTAGTGCTATTTTAAGAAAACAGCGTTGAAAAATGTTTACTCAAAATATTACTCAATCCAAAGAGTGATGTAAATTGTTTTTTGTGTTATATGTTCTATTTTTCATCTGTTTCACTGGTGTACTAGAAGCAGTTTGTTGAAGTCTGTTGCTTTTGAGATAGAGTGCTAGACAACTTCCTAAAATTAGTAACACCTTTTTCGTGGGTATTCTAAAGGCTTTTGTATGTGTGACATTTTACATCATTCTTTAAACCATTTCTTGTGTGACGTTATTTCTAATGGTCATGATTTTAAGTGCTAGTATGTGCTAAAGTATATGATTGCTAGTATGCAAATCAGTCAGGTTCATACCAGAGATATTTGCTTGAGAAATTGTGTGTATAGCTAAAAAGAAGAATGTGGAGAATTCAGAAAGGGTTCAGAAGAAACCAAGAAATGTTTGAAACATGCCTAAAAGCAAGCAAAACTTTTCTGAATCTCTTATGTATTCTTATGTTGAGGTTGAGAAATAATGTGATATACCTGTTAGACTTATTTCAGATCTAAGTAGAAAAATTAATTTATTTTCCTATTTAAGCATTTAGATAGTACTTTTAAGCTTTGGCATATAAAATAATTCAAATGAAATCATTAGACTTAGTGAAGTAGATTTGATATACCTTGGATTTTTTAAAACAGTACTAAGGTGTAATAATAATGAACAAAATCTAAGTATAAATTTACAATCTCTGATAATTATGTTGTCTGTCAGTAGTCTTTAAAATGAACTTTTTTTTTGGCAAATGCTTGTATATATAATGCTTTTTGTGTAATATGTTTTCTATAAGGTCAAAAGAAATAGACTGGCAGCCTTATTTTACTACACGCATTGTAGATGATTTTGGCACACATCTACGTGTATTCAGAAAGGCTCAACAAAAAATAACAGAGAAAGATGATCAAGTAAAAGGTAATGTCTTTATTCCATTTGAAAATTAGGATTTAAAATTCTGTTTTCCTTTATCATTTTGTATATCTTGAATTGTTTGTTTCTTTGCTCAGGTACAGCAGAAGATCTTATAGATACCTTCTTTGAAGTCGAAGTTGAAATGGAGAAAGAAGTTTGCCGTGATCTAGTGTGCACTTCTCCCAAAGATGAAGAAGGTTTTCTTTTCATTCATACAACTCTTTTGAGTATAGTAACTGTTTAGAGACAAGTTAGGAGAACCAGTGAACAAATCTAAGGATAAAATTATTCTTATATAGGACAGGGTAGCATAGTAAAGGCACAATTTATTTTATTTTAATTTTTAGCTATTTAAAGTAGTAGTTAGATTATTTTAATCTTTTAAAGGTTATCTTTAAAAATGAACCTGTCTTCTTTTAAAATATAGCAAGCACAAACATTCTACAACTGAAAATTTACATTTTTGATCTATAGTAATTTCTCTTCCCCTTGAATTTATTATTTCTATTAGTATACCTGCTACCCTAAACTATTTTCTAGGAGAATGATTATAATGATTTCAAATAAAATTTATAAATTTGAATGGACTTGTCTTAATTGTAGGAGTTCAGACCAGACAAATTTTAGCTGAGGATGTTGTCTTTTCTTAGTTTTATAACTGTAAGTTTTTGTTAATTTGCACATTTTAAAATTAACAGTATCATATTATTCCCAGGAAGTGTCAACATAGGAACAAATACAGAAAAGCTTTTTTAGTTGTGGAAATTGTTTTCTTAGACTTTGAAATGTGTTAAACTTTTTTATTTCCTTTGCCTTTACTTTCTTCTTTTTCCTTTTTTTTTCTTTTTACATTTATTATACACTTCAGTTTTTCATTGCTGGTTCATTAACACTGTTATCAAATACAAGTGACCTTTGAACAATGAGGAGGGTTGAGGGTGCTGACCCCTGTTCAGATGAAAATCTGTGTGTAAATTTTGACTCCCCAAAAACTCAACTAATAGCCTACTGCTGACTGGAAGCCTCACTGGTAATGTAAACCTAAACATATGTTTATTAAGATAAACAGGTTAATATCTGTGCATATTTTATGCATTCATGACATACTTTTTCTTAATTTTTCAATATTTCTAGGCTATTAGTTCATCTGCGAGTTTTTTCCAGTTGTCACAAATCTCCAATGAATTTTCCAGTATTGGAAAAAAATCAATGTATATGTGGACCTGAGCAGTTCTGACCCATTATTGTTCAAGGGTCAACTATAATAACTAAAAATGTAAGAAATAGATATATTGATGTGTAATACTTGACCTGTTGTTGTTCAATGGTCACAATAACTAAGAATATAAGAAATAGATACATTGATCTGGAGTACTTTTATGTACGTTGACATCTCTTAAATCACTAAAATAGAAGAGCATGCTCTCTTTTTCTTTGTTATTGCCTCTAGATACCTACAGACTGATCATTACTAGGCCTTCTTTCAACAAGAACTACATATTAAAGTATGTTTACACCAGAATTTCCTTTCCTTGACCGTTTCCCCTTATTTTTCTATTCACACTGATTCCAAACTGGTTCCTTCGCTATAAATCCTATTTGTTCTTGCTGTATTTGGAATTGAGTACACTTCTATATTGAGGTCTCATATTTTCTCTCATTACAATAGTTTTCCCTGAACAAATCATGTTTACCCTTTAACTACTGTCTAGCTCTGTTTCCTTGATATTGCATGGCTGACAGCTAGAGGAGAAAGACAAAGCCACAGCCACAAGGGATTTTTAAGCTCTAGACAAACTTAACGGATTTTGAACAAACTTTGCATTAACTGGAATGGACGAAAGAATACAAGGCAGACAGATATGGAGGGGGCAAGCAATAAGACTCCATGTTGGACATCTTAAGTCTAAAGGGTTGTGAGAACTGAAGTGGTGGTTTCAACCTAGGCAGCTAGTGGAAAGTCAACCTGGCAGATCAAAGGGAACTCTTGGACAAAAGTATAAATTTGATCATCTAGCATTCTCGGATGGACTTAAAGCCACGGAATGGGCAAACCAAGAAGAGTGCCTAGAACTGAAGACCTACAAAAGTACTAAGCAGGAGAGGAGTGACAGGAGTACAATGTAACTAAAATGGATGAACAAAAGGAAGAGAGCACAACTCAGGAGAGCCGCAATCCAGAAGCAAAGCAAAGATAAAGTCTCAAGGAAGGAAAAAAGATGGCAAACCACGGAATGCTGCTAGATGATCCATTATGTAGCTGTCTGGAGTACCTTTGGAAGGCAGAATCTATATGCCAAACTGATATCACATGAGTGAGTGCTCACACCTGATTAGTAATATCATTTCCTTCCAAGTGCAGATGTGCTGTTCTAAGTAAGTAGACATGCCCGTTTAACCACCCTTAAAAATAAGAGCTAATATAAATATATATATATATTGTTATTTGCGCATATAACAATATACTACAACTATCAGACTATTTCTAATCAAAACTAAGCACTTCTATACTCTCATTTCACATAAGTCCATCATTAACATAACCTGACGAAGTACACTGAATCTCAAGCTAGGTAGTGTGTTATGCGAAACTATACACCGTTATTCTCTCAAACACTAACATCTAAAACCATAAATCACACCTCCAGAAATTGTATCTGTTTTTCTGCAGGACAGCACCTAAGGAGAATTACGAGCTTCATTTTTACGAATATTCAAAACTTTCCTTTTAACCCACTACACTAGGATATGGTTTATGTAGCTACATTTCAGAATCTAACCAGCAGCCAAAGCAATGTTAATTACTTACATATTCCATACAGATTTTACTCTAAAGTTTATACTTAGAATAAAGAGTCAAACTACTGTTCTCATCCTGACATTAACTTCACAATTATAAAAAGCAAACTCTTTACGCTGCCAGATTTATCTTATAAATATATACACTACTGCTATTTCAGTGCATCAAGACAGACAGACAAATATATATAAGGACACAGCTACATATTATAACACATACAATTTTTCCCCAAGCATTTTTTTTTTTAAACCATTATCAGGGGGTTTTTTTACCATTTTCTCAAGTATTCCCAGAGACACACCAGGATCTAGACGGAGTTCCTAGACCATTACAAAAAGAGTATATAGACATCATATTCATATCACTACCTAATTATTTACTGTTTCATTCTCACTCGCCTCATGGCATTACAAGATATAGATAAATTATAATAAAAAGAATCAACACAAATAGATAAAAAAATACATAAATGCTCATTAACAAGCACTAATAGTGTGTGTATCTGTATTTTAACATTTCTTATTTCCATTACAACATAATCATTATAAAGAAAACCCACCATAACAAAAGCTCTTTGGATCTTTTAATCAATTTTAAGCAGTGTAACAGAGCTCGACGATCAACCAATCCCTTCCAGAACTCACCCCTTGCTCTACCCCCAAACAAATAAAATAACTTACACACCAACAAACACCACATTACAGCAATAATTCAACACACACACACCACAACACTATACCTCCTGACAAAGTATGCGCCGGCCTGATCTTGGTTCTGGAATCTCCAGCCGCCGCCCTACCGCCAATACCAATCACCCCCTCCCCCCCCCAGTACGCACTTCACAAACTCCGTAGGATCCTAAACTCACGGACAATAACCCTTAAGTCCCCCCCCCCCCCCCCCCCATATACACCGACATAACAGTATCATCTACTTTTCGATACCACCCCATACTACAGAAAACAGGCAGACAGTCCACAGCAGTTTCCTGGTTACCCCATCTTTTTACACTTATCTCAATACCTCCCAGCTGTTGGCCATTAAAAACTTCCATCGTTGGGTCCCTCCTACTACATAATTAGTCATCAACCACCTCATTTTCGTTAATTCTGCCCTTTTTGGACATTTTCTACTCATCAACAAATTTCATTCATCGAACATTTCTTTTCCCCAACAAGTTTTAGACTGCTACCCATGTTTTTGAACTTCTACACATTAATTATCTTCATGCACAACATAATTAGCTACCCCTTCATGCACGTATATACAATATACTCTGTAATACTACCTTATTCCACATGATCTACTATTCCATTCAGCAGCCGCAACC